AACGCCTGCGATGGCACAATACGGGCCGGCGGAATGAGCGAAGCGATTAAATAACATGGCCCCCGCCATGATACTCCCCCCCCCTAGCCATCACCCCCCTCATTGCCGCCCCCGAGACTTGTGCTCATGGCCCGGTTGGGCTGCATGTGGCCAGTGGGCCTTCGCAGGCCTCGTGCACGCGGCGGGCATCCAGCCAGTGATTCGGCGGGTCGCAGCCCCACTGCAACCAGTGGTCCACCAAACAGCTGCAGTGCACAGCATAATTTAGTGGACTGGGTGAACCATCCCCAACCCAACCGGGGAAACCTTGGCCCGGACAGCCGACCTACCCCTCCTAGGTGGAGATGGATGCCATCTCCCTCGGGTTTCGGAACACCCATCCCCACCTGGAGGGGTTACGCTGGGAGAGCTACCGTACCCCCTTGTTCTGGTCGGAGTTAGGATGGTGGTGACGATGCCGATGTACAGGGCCTGCATGAATGATATTTGATCTCGCCAAAGCGACTCACAAGGATTATGAATCAGTCGCTGGCTCGCAATGATGAGAGATGAAGGAGACTGCAATGCACAAGTGCGAGGTGAATCGTGGGTGCTGTAACTAAAGCGGCCAGCCCTCCTGATCTCAGAAGGCATCTGCGCCAACAATCAGCCCACTGGAGCCTCGAACTCACCGCGAGTAGCTTGCCGTCGACGCATCGGAGTAGCCGTGCGGGGGGAAGGTCCAGGTCAGGTTTTGGAACTCGTCCTGGAAGTCCGACTGGAAGACAATCAGGGAAGTGCAGGAGGCCACGGCCATGAGGCCGTCGGCAATCGCGGTGGACATGTCCTGGAAGGCCACGCCCGTCGCCAGGCTCGACAGCGCCTGCGCGTCCACGTTCTTCTCGGTCGGCGACCCCCACCTCTGGTACAAGCCGACCTGGTTTCCAACGTATATGTCGCCATCCCGATCGATAACAGGAGCGGACCAACTGTTTGGACTGCACGTGGCACGGCCGCCCGAAGCCCGGCGGATGTCGCCACCCTCCTTGTCGCCGGCGCACATGCTGGTCCACAACGTCGGGCCCTCCTTGTTGAACCGGACGCCGCCGCTTTGCGGATCCACAGACCAAATCTGCGTGGGGGAGTTGAGACGGCAGTTGTAGCCCAGTGTGACCACCAGGCGGGTGTGGAACTTAGGGCTGTTTAGCATCCCAGCAACGCCGCCAGCCGGCGGATGCGGCGTTACACGCTCCCAGCGGAGCCGGCCGGAGGTAGCGTTATAGGCGCGGATAATACCTTGTCTGAAAGGCCTGTTTCCGCACTCGGGCAGGATGCCAGGCGCTACGTAAGGATTGCAGCCAAAGCCAGTATAGGGCAGCATGCCAAAGGCGTAGACATTGTGGTGGGGGCCCGTGTCGTATACAGCGGCTGCCTCGGTGTACGTCCCTGTTTCGCCCCCGACTGGATCCCAGATGTCGGTGCCTGTCGAAAGGTTCAGGGAATACAGCCTGCCTTCTTGGTCGTTGAAAAAGAAGTTGTCATTCGGGCCCCAGACCGGATTCATGTTCCACACCGGCGCTTGTGGCACGTATTGCCAGGCCTGGGAGCCGTCCACAACATTCAAGCCCCGCACCACCGTATTGCCTGGCGTAAGGACATTGGTCTGGTTGCGATACCTGTAGCAGTACCGGTCAGTGCAGCGGTTGGTAGCGACCACAACGATTCCGTCCTTTGAAGCCAAAGCCCCCTTGACCCCAGCGATCTGAGATGAGCCCTGGATTACCCACTGCTCGTGTCCGCCACTGAGGTCAATCGCGAACACGAAGCCCGAGGTCGTACTCCCGATCAGCATGGGATTGCATGTAGAGGACACCTGCTCAACCTTCACGAAGTGCTTCTCTATGGCGTCGAACTGTACCGCGCTCTTGCGCCCAGTACGCATCCACTGGATCACCGCCCGGTCGTACTTGCCGTCCTCGTCTATGGCTGGAACGACGCCGGAGATCACTCCCTGGTCACCGGCTGTGTAAAGCTCCCTGCCATCTGCTCGATAGCTCGCGCCAGCCTTCACCTTTTGGCGGCGCGCAGAGGGGGGTAGAGGGAGGGGGGAAGGCCTCTTAGAAGCACCCCTGCTTCTCAGAAGGGGCGGGCCTTCTCTGTAGGTGTAAGGCCAGCGCCTTCTAAGAAGCAGCCTCCTTCTAAGAAGCCTTCCCCCCTCCCCCTACCCCCGTCTGCTCGCCGCCAAGCCTTGACGAGGTCGCCGACCTGGAAGTCCTTGAAGAAGTGGACGGAGCGCTCCACGTCAGCACCCTTGCCCTTGACCCAGTCTGGCCGCAGTCCGCCGGCCCCACGGGCCAGAGGCGTGCTAAGATCTCCGGTTGCTAGGGGGCAAACAAACCTACCTCGCTTTTGACCGCCCTCGCTCCCAAGAGATACCAAGCGATGCCAAACTACGGCCTGTACTGGTCAGGCCGCTTGACGAGGAGGCGCGTGATGGCTTGGTTTTTCCTGGAAGCGAAAGCGGGGTAGGTAATTCACGCTCTGAGTGACTGGTTAACAATATTTCTAGTTCGCGCGCGCGGGGCGGCCCCCGGGGGTCCCCCGGCGAAAAGTACCCCGACCGCAGCCCGAGCAGGTCTACTCAGAGATGGTTTTCCTCCTGGGTGTGGCTTCTCAGGCCCCCCAGAGCGCGCCAAGAGGGCCCCAAGAGGCCCCCAAGACTGCCCAAGAGGCCCCCGAGACGCCCAAAGGGCGCTCCGAGACGCCGATGATGACCCCAAGACGGCCCAAGAGGCTTCCAAGTGGCCCCCAAGAGGCCTCACAAGAGGGCCCCGAAGGCCAAAATCATAAATTTCACTATGGTTTTGGAAGGATTTTGGCCTTGTCGCCTTTTCGGCCATCCGATGCTCCAAGACGGTCCAAGAGACCCCCAAGAACGCCCCAAGACGGGCCAAGAGGCTTCCAAGAGGGCCCCAAGAGGGCCCAAGCCCCGAGACGGCCCAAGAGGCGCCCAAGACGGCCCAAGACGGCCCCAAGAGTGGCCCAAGAGGGGGACCACGAACCGAAAACTCTAGCCTTGCGCCCCAAGAGGGCCCCAGGAGGCCAAGAGAGGCCCCCAAGAGGCCCCAAGATGCCGCCAAGATGTCCCAGGAGGCCCCCAGGAAGCCCAAAAGAGGCCCCAAGAGGCCCCAGAAGGCTTCACAAATGCCTCCCAGGCGCCCCCGAACGGCTTCTCAAAGACCCCAAGAGGCCTCCCAAAGAAGCATCTTGACGACGACCCTCTCTGGCCCCAAGAGCAACACAAGATGCCAACGAGAGGCTTCCTCCTCCGCCCCTTCCTCCTCCTCCTCCTCCTTCTCCTCCTCCTACTTTTCTTCATCCTCCTCCTCTCCTTCTCATCCTCTCCTCCGCCTCCCCTCCCCTTCCCCATCCTCATCTTCCCCCTCCTCGGCGGCGCCACAATGGCCCCGGGCCCACGGCGAAGCAGTAGCGATCATGCAACATGGGCCGGCGGAATGAGCGAAGCGATTGAATAAGTCCTCCTCCTCGGTGCTGATCTCGTCCATCACATGGGCCGCAATGCGCGCGGTGGGACAACCGTCGGACAGGGTGGGTGCGGCTGCCAGTTGACCTCTGGGGGCGTAGCTCCATAGAATGGTACCGTTGGAATCAAACTTTCGGATTGCGTCGTCGGAGCCGAGGTAGATATTCAGATCGCTGTCGATGAGGGGGCTGCCGACCGGGATGGTGCCGTAGAGGCCAGTGGGGTGGTGCCAACCCCAGGAGACGGACTCTGTGAGGTCCTTCGCGCCAGAATAGAGCTGCGCCGACTCGCGGTTGACCGAGTCGGGCCAAAAGAACCTGCCGTCCTGTCTTCTCTTCTTCTGGAAGGCGTGGCTCCGGTAGCGGGTGACGCCCAACCGGTTCATCTGGCCTAGAGCTGTCCAGCCCGCGGAATCATAAACCGTGACGCGAGACCTGTCAAGCTTCACATTGAGTTTCCAACCCGACTTATCGTCAAACTTAGATGCAGAATCAAACTTATCGCCCGACTTGTCATCCAGTTGATTTCTTCTGGACGCTCTCTCGCTCACGCTAGCGTATCTCTGGACACCGACCACAGAGGTAGGTAACAACGGCAAGATGACCAGAAGGCGGCCACCAGCAGTCATGAGCGGCGAGAAATTATGAAAGGCAAACCCAATCGAAATTGGAAGCGTTCTTAAGCACAGTGGGTGGGGCAAATATGGAGCATAAGCCAAATGTCTGGAGGAGGGGCCGCAGAATAAGACACGGAGGAGGACGAACATGAGGATGCTGCAACCAACAACTTGCACCTTACCAACACGTGGGGCTACAGTCTTCGAGATGAATGGGGGGACCGCGTGCCCGACGCCCTTGGCGGATGCAACCGAAACTCAAACGCCGGCCCGCAGAGTGGCTCACGCCACCTCTGCGTTTGGGCACACTGACCCAAGTGATCCCACCAGCCCTCTGGGCATACATCATCAGCCTGACCTAAGGAACGATAAATAAGGAACGAGGCCCCTTTTTTATCCCAAGGAATAACGCATAAGGAACGAGAAATGACAAATCACGCATAAGGAACTGTAAATAACGCATGCAAAATCTAAGGAACGACCGAGCCCCTTTTGAAAAGTAAGTGTTCCTTATTCAAGCCGCTCACTGTAGGTGGTTTCTCTAGCGAATCAGTTCTTCCAGCCTCCAGGACAGCCCCATGAGGGCCCCATCATATAGCCCAGGATGGCCTCCATGATCGCACGAGATGGCCCGGTACCCATCGGTCGGAAGAAGCAGGTGGAAAGATGAAGTAGGAAGGCGAGTAGAATAGATTGGGTCCAGGTCCGCCCAGAGAGCAACAAAACGCAGCAAAAGCATATCAATTCTTGAAGTAGGAAGGCGCTTGAGTAGATTGGGTTCTGGGGATTCAAGAAAGCCTACTTTCAACGACCGATGGGTATGGTCTCAGATAGCCTCTCCAGCATGCCTCCAAGAGGCCCTGAGACAGCCTCGAGACGGCTCCGAGTGGCCACTGAGCCTGCCAGGGACACCCCCCCCCGAGAGGCCGCAGTCCGTCCAAAACCCGTGGGCAACACTGTGTTTGCTGTCTCTTCTCGTCTGTTCGCTTCCGATGTGCCCTGGATGAGGGATGAAAAAAACGACCCTACCCTGGGTTACAGGTGCGTGGTCTGTAAACCTCCTGGGAACCTCCTGGGAGGGGGAGGGGGAGGGGGAGGAGGCGGAGGAGGAGGGGGAGGAGGAGGAGGAGGAGGAGGAGGAGGAAGAGGAGGGGGAGGAGGAGGAGGAGGCCTCAAGATTGCTTCGAAGAGGGCCCCAAGCGGGGGGCCCACGGGGTGCCCCAGACGGCCCTCGTGGGGCGCCCAGGAACGCCCCCAGCAGAGGGCCCCCAAGGGGCCCCGGGAGCCACTGCGTCGGCCTCCGACGGGGGGAGACTCGTCCACGCCGCCACCTGTTCTGACTACCTACGGCAGGTTCGTGCGGCGTCGGCGCGCGCAAAGGTTTTTGACACCGCGTCGATCGTTCAACCTTGAATCGATCGCGGCCCCGATCGTTCAAAAGAAGACAAAAAAATCAAAAAACAAAGAAAGAGAAAAAAAAAGAAATAGAAATATATATTCAAAGAGAAAAAAAAAGAATAAGAAAGAAGAATCAAAAAAAGAAAAGAAAAAAAAAAAGGACGAAAAAAGGTTAGAACATCTTGGGCCCAATGGCGTTAATCGTGTCTCTCGGTGCTTCCGCTTCGCAGAAAATTCCAAACCTTGAACGCCTTCGCCGGCGTCGCCGGCGCGCCAACGTCCGACGCGAACCTACGTACTCGAGATTTCGTAATAAAGGGAGGGGGTTCTCATTTCGGGGGGGGTCTCTTCCAGGCTATCCTGGAGGGCCTGGGGGGTCTGGGGACGATGTTCTGGAGGGTTCTCCCACGGGGGAGGCCTGAAATGGCTTGTCCTGGAGGGTCCAGACCCCCTCCCTTTTATTACGAAATCTGGAGTACCAGACCACCCCAACCCAACCCGAAAACCCCAATTTCGGGTGGGGGGGGGGTGCGGGCTCCATGCGTGTTTTTTCGATGTTCCCCGACCCCCCCCACACTGGAAATGGAGTGCAAATTGAGGCCTTCGGGTTGGGTTGGGATGGTTTGGTAGGTGGTGAACGCCGCCACCTGTTCTGGTCGATGATGGCCTGCAAGATGGCCCCCAAGTGCCCCCCAGGGCCCCGAAGAGGGCCGCAGAAGAGCCCCAGGAGGGCCAGAGAGCCTGCCGACAGGCTCCCATGTCGCAAGATCCGCGGAGGCATGCGTGCTTGACTCCTGGGCCTGCTCAGGCGGATCCCGATCTTCGATTTGACTGCTACCCCCCTCTTTGTTCCACTGCGTGCTCCCAAACTTCCCTGATTCATGTATCTCCCCTAGGCATCGTTGCTGGATGGGCTGGTGCGGATATTTTTTTCCGGTCGCGCCCGCCAGCGAGAGCGCAAGCGGAGTCAGAAGCGTTCCGGGACACGGAAGCGGCCTAATTAGCTACTAAACGCGCCGCAGGCCGGCCGGCCCACTCACCAAGCAGCTGCGGGGCTGCGCGGGAGGGCGTCCAGGGAAGCTCAGGCACTTGCAGCCTAGCAAAATGCCAGGGAATCAGGGGCGTTCCGTGAGGCAAAGCTCACTCCAGCGGCGCGGAAACCTGGTGCGCTCTTTTTTTTTTTTTTTTTTTTTTTTTTTTTTTTGTTTTTTTTTTTTTTTTTTTTTTTTTTTTTTTTTTTTTTTTTTTTTTTTTTTTTTTTTTTTTTTATATATCTATATATATATATAATATTATCTATATATAATATATATATAATATATATATATATATAATCTATATATATGATATATATATATATATGATATATATATACAGCCGCAGGCGGAAGCGCCGACGGCGGGCGGTCGCGGGCGGGCTGCGGCCGCGACTAAATTCCCGGGCGCGCGCGGGGGCCGCGGATCAGGCGGCGGGGGGGGGCAGCGCCCAGGGCGGCAGAGCCGACGTGCAATCCAGGGAGTCTGCAGAACAGCCCCTGAACGAGACATGCAACGGCGCATCCAGGGAGTCTGAAGCCAGGCACCGAGGAGACCGAGCGCAGCCAAAATGGCGCGAGAGGCGTTCCTAGAAGTCCAGATGCGAACAGGTAGGAACGTTCCCGAGGACGTCGACCCAGGGAGCCTGACGGGTAACACAGACTGACTGGGGACGTAAGTCCAGCGGAAAATCCTGACGGCGCCAATCATCGTTTGCTTCGCGGTGTGTTCGATGGGGCAGCCGC